AGCATAGGGCTGACTGTTCGCGCTTCCGCTTCCTCCCCCTAAATTCACGGGTTTGCCATTCACTAACAGTGAAAAGCCTCGATTAAACGATAACATTTTTTTTTTCATTCGTTTGTTCAACTGTGGAGGATAACTCCGAACTGGAACTTTGGTCAAGTTGATTGGTTTTCAACAGCAAATTTGGAAATCTTCCAAAGGCCAATAAACGACCATTAACAAAAAATCCAATTAGTTTATTGTTAGCACCATTGGTGCTGGTAAATCCGTGAGGATTGGGGATTGTTTTTGAAATGGTTTTTGAATCTTGAGTTTTCATAGTATTTGGTGTGACATTTACCAACTAGTAAGGTGAGAATTTTTGAATTTCAGGCCAATTTTGGTAAATATTTGGTAAATTTTTAAGGTTGGGTATTTGAGTATCTCGAATCATTACTCCGTCATGGTGGATGATGAAAACTTTTCTTCTATCACAGTATCTTGATTCTTGATAATCGTTGAGGATGCATCTTATTGATGTAATTTCTAGGAATTTTGTGTAGAAAAAGTCCCTAAAACATTGAGTGTTAGGGCAATAATATATAAAATGTTTTAGGGTTCTGGGGCATTTGCAGTGAGCGCATTGTCTTTCCTTATGTTGTTTGATATAATTACTTGTCAGATTTCTCCAGATTGACCATTTAGTCTCTGTGTCAATTTTAGATTTGATGAATTTCAGATTGATAGATGACCAGTTCTTGGTAAGGTGTAGACTGGAATTATCTCTATTCAATTGGCTAAACATTACTTCGTAACGTTTCTTTTGTATGGATTTTTTTGATGTCGAAAATAATGGTATTTGATGTAGTAAGGATGGTTTGGTTTGAAAAAAGATTCCTAATGTCAAAATAGTTGTGCTCTTGAGCTCCTATCTTTGCTAATTCATCAGCTTTGATATTTCCTTCGTTGACGTGTCCTTTAACTTTGATTAGTTGAATATTCAGTTTGGATTGTTGAATGACCTTATGATATTCATGTTTAAAGCAGTTAAACATTCCATTATAGGCTTTGTTTTTCAAGATGTGGATGGATATTTCACTATCTGTGTGAATTTTTGCCTTGGATTTAGGTGGAAGTATCTTTAGTGATGTGAGTATAGCTGACAATTCAGCGACGTTATGTGAGTATTCACTGTTAATTTTTTACGAGAATTCTTGGGTTTCTTGGGAATTGTTGACTTTGGCGGTGAAGCCGAAACCTGTTGAATTGTTTAGATTTGATCCGTCAGTGTAAATAGTAAAATTCTTTCCTTTGAATTTTGGAAGATTTTCATCATTGTTAAATTGTTGAGGTTTGATCTTGTATTTCTTCATTGATCTATTCATTTCCTTAAAAATCGAATTTTCATATTTAATTCCTTCTGAATAGACTTCTCTAAGGAGTTCGTTCTCATTGTTAATAAGATAAAGGGCTGTTTCGATTCTAATTTCATCAGCAAAGAAGTCGAATCTTGGAATACCTAATCCACCATAGGTGATTGGGAGGTGAAAATAGTTTGTTGGACTAGCATTATGCATGAAAATTTTCTTTCTTATTGCTTTTCTTACTTCAATGTTGATTCTATCAACAAGCGTTTCAGGAATATAATTTGTTCGTAAACCCATTAACAAAAAAATGAGCAAACGCAAGAACTGCTTTCCTTTAAATTGCGATTCAAATCTCGGATTCAACGATGAACAGAAGAATGGTGGGAAGAAATTGAAACTAATGCCAAGGAATGTTCGAATAGTTTTGATTGATTTTTCAAATTCTTTTTTTCGTGTTGGTGATGATGATCAAAATGAGATTCGGAGATGGGAATTGTTGTTGAAAAAGAAATTTTCATTGCAACAAGAAGGAAAGAAGAA